AGCTGACATGCCTTCAATGTTGATTGAGATTATTATCATGGTTGGTCTTGAAAAGGTCCGTTGGTGGTTTTGCTTGCTTGTTTGCATGCTGCAAGTCGCTTCTGGTTGCTTCTGGAGTGAGAGAATCAGCTGTCTACAAAGACGTTGCCCAGGGGACACCCGGATGTCTTGCAATCCTGTGAGGAGGCTTCTCTCATGTCCCCCAATCACAGGCTGAACTCCAACAATTATGGACTATTGCTCTATTGTTTATATGGACTACTGCTATTTTACTGTATATATGGACTGCTGCTATAGCACCTTTGCCACTGCTTTTCGGAAAATGCCCTTTTCCCTTTTTGTACAGGCTTTGTAAATAAAATGCTGTAGTTAGTAACTACCTGACTCTGTGGAGTGCTGGGTGAAAAGGTGTTCCAAGCCTCGAGTGCAACACTGGGTTTCTAGTGAGAGTTCAAGTTTGATTTCTTCTACAACTGCTTTATTTGTCTTTCCGCAATCCACAGTATCTGCAGAGCCGTTCTGCAGACAATTCAAATGAGTGGATTTTCTTCCAGCCAACTTTTTTTTTTCTTATCCAACTTTCACAACTCTATCATGCACTTCTCTTGACCATTTTCTGGATGTTTGGTAGTGCTGACAGTGGCATGGTATTGAATGCATCACCAACCCTCAAGTGAGGAGGCACCACCAACAATCCTTTTAACCTCATGCTCAGCCACCCTCCCACTTGGATGTTTTGTTTCCTTCTAATGCAAGCATGTCAAAAACAAAGAGGTTGTCCTTTATGGTGCAGGGAAAATTGCAACTATTGTGCATGTCTGTGTGTGTTTTCCAGCTGATACAAAGAGAATTCTTATTCAACCCCCAAACGGCTCTATTAAGCTAAGTGCTCTGTACCTAGCAATCTTCGCACGCATTCTTTTTCTCCCTTTTCACTGCCTCCTGTATATAATTTCAAGAAAGGATCAAGGGTGGAAAGTGGGTGGATGCACATGTCTGACCAAGTGCTCTCAAGGACTAAATATTACTTTTGGGGACTACAGGTTCTACAATCCCTCATCTTGCCCAGTCGCTGACAGTAATGTTGGGGGATTCTGACAGCTGTAATCAAAAAGGTAACTTTTCCAAGATCCCTCTGTCTTACACACACTATCTTATCTTCCTTGAGTTATGCTATGCCACTCCGATTTCTGTTCTACTCAGGGGGAAAAGTACAGTGTTTCTCAGCCTCCCTAATGCCGCAACCCCTTAATGCAGTTCCTCATGTTGTGGTGACCCCCAACCATAACATTATTTTTGTTGCCACTTCATAACTGTCATTTTGCTTCTGTTATGAATCGTAATATAAATATCTGATATGCAGGATGTATTTTCATTCACTGGACCACATTTGGCACAAATACCCCATACGCCCAAAATTTGAATATTGGTAGGATTGGGGGTAATTGATTTTGTCATTTGGTAATGCTGGAGTTGCTGGGATTTATAGTTCACCTTAAATCAAAGAGCCTTCTGAATTCCATCAGTGATGGAATTGAATCAAACATGGCACACAGAACTCCCATGACCAAGAGAAAATACTGGGAAGGTCTGGTGACATTGACCTTGAGGTTTTGGAGTTGTAGTTCACCTACATCCAGAGAACACTGTGGACTCAAGCAATGATGGATCTGGATCAAACATGGCACAAATACTCAATATGCCCATATGTGAACACTGGTAGAGTTTGGAGAAAATAGACCTTGCCATTTGGGAGTTGTAGTTGTTGGGATTTATAGTTCACCCACAATGAAATAGCATTCTGAACCCCACCAACGATAGAATTGGACCAAACTTTCACACAGAACCCCCATGACCAACAGAAAATACTATGTTTTCTGATGGTCTTTGGCGACCTCTCTGGCACCCCCTCGCGACCCCCCCAGGGGTCCCAACCCCCAGGTTGAGAAACGCTGTTTTAGAATGCTATAACAAAACCATCCAAGATACTGGAATCTTTTTGGGAAGGTGAATTTAACAACTTGGAGAAACTCCTAAACAACAGAGTTCAAATTCTGGAGTGAATTCATTGAAATTTCAGGGGCCCAAACATAACAATTTGGTCCCTGTGCTGCAATTCATTTCTGGAAGGGAATGAAGGCATCCATCTCTCTTAAATTGCTGTGAATTTGTAGCATTAATTCCAGCATTGGACTGTGACTCTGGAGACCGGGCCACGGAAAGCCATTTGGGTGACCCTGGATGAGTCACACTCTCTCAGCCTCAGAGGGAGGCAAAGGGAAACACTCCAAACCCATCTCTGCAAAAAAACCTTGACATGGAATCGAAGGCAGGTGACAAGCATTGTCCTTTGTGATTTAAAAGACGCAACCGAGAAAGAAAACAGGAGGCGGCTCTTCTGCCAAAGGACACCTTATCCCTTCTTCCAAGTCTCTGGGGAGATATTTTAGAGCGGCAAAGACACCCAAACCTCACGGGCAAGATAAACCGAAGGAAGGCGGGTACGGTTACAAGGCAGGTAAAGGAACGTGCGCACACCTTCAGTCACCCCCAGACTGTTTCCTTGGCCCCCAAAACCAGTAGATAACAAAATGCAGAGTTGGGAAATCCAACAGTCTCATTGTGGCACCTTGTGGGGGTCTCTAATTCCTACCTTTCTAAAAGAAAACAACAACAGCTCCTGCACTTTTTAGATTGGGTCCCTACACAAAACCAGGGAAGACACATAGTAATGGTGTTATTAATGAAAGGGATCTGGGCAAAAGGAGACAGCAGAAGGGATGTATTTAAGGCTCCCAATCCATTTGTTAGGGAACAGCCTTGTTCGTATGGCAAGGAGGGACATCTAGTGTCAGCAACATGAATTTATTGACACAACGCAGCTCTTAGCAGACAATATTAGCAGACAATCAGGCACATTAAATCACTCTCAACAAAAGATTCCCCCCAGGCACTTCCAAGCCATTAAATGCTAATCAAGGTGGTCAGTTGAAACATTCACACCTAGCTCCAGCAGACAAAAGTCCTTTGTCCCACCCTGGTCATTACACAGATATATAAAACCATTTTCCTACTTCCAACAGACCTCACTACCTCTGAGGATGCTTGCCATAGATGCAGGAGAAACGTCAGGA